CCACCGCCGCCACCACCACCACCTCCGCCAAAACCTCCGTCACCTCCGCCAAAACCTCCGTCACCTCCGCCACCCCTACTCCAAAACCCTCCATGTCCCCCAAAATCACCACCACCTGTTAAGCCTCCATCACCGCTAACTCCACCCATTTCCACATCTCCCCCGCCACCATCCTCTCCTCCTCCATCTCCTCCTCCTCTTCCTCCACCTCCTCCTCCATTATCACCACCACCACCACCTTTTAGCCCGCTTCTAGCCAACATCGCAAGAAACATAAAGACACCAAAAGTACAACCAAAAGCTATGATGACAATAACCCAAGTCTCCATCTTAAGCAAAACCGCTACATATAACTCTCCCCGATAAGACGTATATATAGTTTCTTGCTGAGGTTCACCTGCGGACAAATAACGTGTTAAGTTTGTATTGACTTAGACTTTGATTATTCAAATACTTATACATTCAAAGGTTTTCATTACGGGTAAAACTTGAGAAGAAGTACCGTACGTATGATACTTTCTTTCTTTGATGTCATATATGATAAATCTCTTAATAAATATCGATAGTTATATCTTTGTCTAAGGATTAGATGGTTTGACTCGGTCACTGGACTTGAATTCTAATCGGTGTGACATCTATCACACCATCTTGACCAGATCAAAACATGAGAATAGAAAAGTGCACACACGCAAGCCCATTTCAGAAATTTATTCCATTAGTCGTCTCTCTTGAATTTCTTCAGCATATTGAAACTGTGATAGCTTCTTCATCTTTGAATTTTTGTGATAACATTACGGTGGAATGTTCTCTACGCAATATTTATCATTTTCAGGCTTCAATCTTGCAATCTATCTACGTCAAAATAAAAAAACAACATTAAAAGCAACTAAAGTTGGGAATCTTGGACCAATAAACCATAATCTTAACCATGACATAAATTTAGTATTAAATAATTTCCCGATCTTATCATATAACTAAATAAACGGCACTGCGCGAAGATTCTTAGAATAAACTTACATTTAATTTTCATTAACCTCTCTCTGTCTCTCTCCTCATTATCCAATTACACCCAATCAAATCTTTTTTCAACCCGACGGGTCGTAAAATTCCAAAAGATTCCTCAAATTATACTGCGACTTGTCTCAGCTTAATTCGGAGCTCCGAGACCTGAAATCTCTCTGTTCACACGATCATCTCTAGATTCTCGGAGCCGGTTTTAGTTTGTCGGAGGAAAAAATGGCTCAGTCTACGGCGAGGACCGGTCGGGTGGTTGGCGACTACTTGGTGGGTCGACAAATCGGTTCCGGTTCGTTCTCGGTGGTTTGGGAGGCGAGGCACCGCGTTCAAGGCACCGTGGTCGCTATCAAGGAGATCGCTATGGGGCGGCTTAATCAGAAGTTGCAGGATAGTCTCATGTCTGAGATTTTCATCCTTAGGAGGATCAATCATCCCAACATCATCCGTTTGCTCGACATGATCGAGGTTTGACTCTCATTTTCTAGCTCGACATGATCAAGTACTCATTTAAACACCAAAAGTGTCAATTTTTTTCAGCTAAGTTGAATTTTGCTTCTGCTCTCTGTTTCTGGGTTTTGTTGAGTTCTGTTTAGTTTCGTAGGACAATTAAAACGAGAAAAGTCAGGACTTTTAGCGGCATTCTGAGTTTTCTGTTGGAAAGTATGATCTAGAAGGAAGATTGGACTACATGCATGGAATTAAGCTTGAAATGTGGAAGAAAGTTGAGTTTTTTAATGTTTTGGGGAAATTTTATGTAGTCTCCAGGGAAGATAGATTTGGTGTTGGAGTATTGCAAAGGAGGTGATCTCTCTGTGTATATTCAGAGTCATGGAAGTGTCCCTGAAGCTACTGCTAAGCATTTCATGCTGCAGTTAGGTAAATTACTTTGACTCATATACTCTCTGTTTCTTTCCTTTTTTGTTTTTTGGTTGATAGAGTCATGTTCTTAGTCTCAAGATGGTTTTTGTTATGTAACAGCGGCCGGTTTACAAGTTCTTCGTGACAACAATATTATTCACCGCGATTTAAAGCCTCAGGTGTGTTTGATTCTCATTCCTTTGAATGGTGAAAGGATGCTGTTTTGAAGGGTCCAAGCAGAGATAGAGTCTTAAAGAGTTTACATCTCTGTTGAAGTTTTAATTGCTAAGGTTGTTTCGTTCTTGAAACAGAATCTTCTTCTATCCACAGATGACAATGATGCAGATCTGAAGATTGCTGATTTTGGATTTGCAAGGTATTGTCATCAGCACCCCTTGTTACTAGATCAAAGAGTGTTATATGAGTGAAATGGGCTCGAGCTGCTTTTGAATGTATAATATCGAGTCGTAGGTAATTTATATTCTTTTCTTGGGGATTCTCTCTTAGGACTTTTTAGTTTGCATTTGAACATCACACTTTTCGTTATTGCAGATCGTTGCAACCTAGGGGACTTGCAGAAACATTATGCGGTTCACCATTGTATATGGCCCCAGAGATTATGCAGCTTCAGAAGTATGATGCAAAGGTGAGACCTTTATCTCACTAACCTACCTAAACCTTTCTCTTAGTGTGGTGATCTCTTTACAAACTAGCTGAAAACACAGGCAGATCTCTGGAGTGTTGGTGCTATCTTATTTCAACTTGTTACAGGCAGAACCCCTTTCACAGGAAACAGCCAAATTCAGGTTTTGTACTCTGTCTCACAGATTTCTGTAATATGTAAGTGTTTGTAGTCTGGTGCATAAAGCTAACGTATTCTCGATCTCGTATTCACAGTTGCTCCAAAACATTTTAAGATCAACTGGATTAAATTTTCCAGCGGGCTGTAGAGATTTAAGTTTGGACTGTATAGATCTGTGTCAGAAGCTACTGCGCCGTAATCCAGGTCAGCATTAGACTAATGTTTCAGTCTAAGACTGTCTAAACTTCATAAGAATAGGAGTTGCAGATTTGTCAAGCACTTGGAGTAGTGATTTAAATAGCTTATGGTCCTACTCTCTTTGTATCCAATGCTATTACAGTTTCATTCTTGAATATATTGTCTTTTGCAGTGGAACGTTTGACATTTGAAGAGTTCTTTAATCACCCTTTTCTTTCGGACAAGCAGTCATATGATTTCTCAAGGTATATGTGTGCTAGTTGGTAGTTGCGGTGGATAATGCTTTTCTTCTTCTTTATGCAAACATTTGCACTGATGAAAGTATTTGATCTGCAGGAGTAGATTAGATTCGGGAACAATGGATGGTATTTTTTCTTCTGGAAGCAGTCCGTCGAGAAACATGGAAGAAAGTTCTCAAGAAGACTGTTTGCCGTTCCTCTTAGACGATGATTCCAGTGGACCTGAGGGTAACCTTTCGATGAAGTCGTCCTCTGGATTTAACATTGATGCCAGAGTTGAGAGAAGAGAGACGGAATCTAGTCCTTTGCAATGTACAGAACTTACTTCCAGATATAGTAGAATCAACCAGGGAGCGGAAACCAATAGATTTAGCTATGAAACTCAGATGAATTCTGATAGGAGAAACCATGGCGAACCTACAAGACTGACTGATTCCAGATCTATCCCTAAGGGAAGAGGTACATTGATTCTCTTCTATTTGCTACGTCCTGGAAATATGCAAAGCTTTCTTGTTCGGCTTTTCTCACATATGTCAGTGTTGCAGTAGATGATTCTCAAGACTCAATGGATCAAGACTTTGTTCTTGTATCTGGACCACCAGTGGATATGCCATCATCTTCATCGAGTTCTTCGAAGGCTTATAATTTCCCATTCAAGTCTCAGTCTCCTCCTGTAAAGTTGTACAATAGAAGCATAAGTTCAACAGCTCCCATGCCAATAATTGGTGCTACTGGCAACAACATTGGCCGCTTTGGAAGTTTGGACAGTCAGAATTCTGCTCCGAGCACTTCTCATGGGTCTCTGGATCTTGTGGATGCTTTTGAACAGCCATCGAATCACAGCCTGGCAAGAATCAGGTCTCTGAAGAAATGTGCAGCAACAATTGCTGAATTAGTTCATGAAAGGGTAAAACCAAACTTCACACTGTTTATAGATAGTCATGTGGTTATCATCACCGTGCCATCATGAGTTTTCTGAGCAGTTTCTTGTCGTGATTCTTTTGCATAGATAAAATCTGACAAGCAGCTAGAAGCTTTCTCGATCCAATTGGCGATTCTGGCAATTTGGAAACAGGCAATGCACATATGCCATACTCAGGCAATTTCAGACTTGGAAGGAAGTCCAAGCCAAGACATTAACAAACTAAGAGGAAGTAGCAGCCTAAAACACGATACTCAATATTCTGATCTCAGCCATGATGGATCGGAGGAGATATCCTCTCAGATTCAAAGGCAATTTATCCAGGAGATTGAGCTGGCTGAAGAACTTGCTAATAGTATCAATCCTGGTATGCTTCTTTTCCCAAAAACAAAACACTTCTGTTTGTTTTTTCGGTATTCAAGAAAGATCTTTAAAGTTTTCCTTTACTTAGGAAATACACAATTGCCGGATGCAATGGAGACGATATTTCAAGCAGCCCTTGATCTTGGAAAACTTGGGGGAGTAAGTTTCTTTTGCATTTTTCCCAAAGAATCTGATGAGCAATCCAGAACTAAAATATCAGTTAACTTAAGTGTATGCTCAATTCCATTATTGGCTGTGGAAATTTTCTGCAGGTTCTTGAGGTAATGGGAGAGATAGAGAACGCTGGAAACCAATACTCTAAGGCGGTGCGTTTGCTGGTATTCCTTCTAGTAGAAGCACCAATGCTGATTCTGAATCCGCCATTGTCCCTCACAAACTCAGTCAGGTATCGTCTCCGATCATATATCGACATCCTCAGCAGAAGATTGAAACATCTGCAATCACCAAGAAGAAGTTCAGGTGCTCAGATGCAAGGATCATCAGTAGCCATGATGAACAAACAACCATAAAATTTCATTCACTTGGTTTGGGTTTCTCTTGTTTCTTCTTCTGTTATTTTTTGTTTTATAAAAAGAGAAAAAGAGAGAGAAAAAAAATGTATGTATATGTACAGAAAATTCATGTATTCTTATTCTTTTGGGGATCTGTAGACGTTGAGGGGATATGATGATGTGTGTGAGATGGATGTTGTAACATTTTTCTTTGTTCTTTCTAGTTTGATCCTAGTCATTTGTTTTTTTTTTTTGTTTGATACCAAAATTTGTCATGATGATTCTTTTTTTTTTTTTTCCGCAAATTCACCATTTATTTTATTTGAAAAAAGTTACATTAGACTCAAAGTCTTACCAAGCAATTTTCAAATATTACACCTTATGCAAATCGAAGTTTGCAAGTACTAGAAACTAGAAAATAATCAATCTTCCGCTTCGATTAAGTAGAAACATCAATGAGGATGTCTAACTAGCCACGACCACCTCTACTACCACGACCTCGATTACCACGTCCTCGGACTACGGCTTGCATTTCTTTAGCCTTTGTTGACAATGGAACCGGTCGTTCCCGAAGGATTCTTTTTCCCGAAGGCGTAAAGAACATCGAATTTTCAGGCACATCGGGTGGTGGTGGGACTTCGCTGTCATCATCATCTTCATCTTCAGAAGAATCCAAAGATGCAAATCTGTTGTTTCTCAAAGAGGCGCTAGACAAAGTCCTGCGAATACTGTGTTCAGGCTGAACAGGGGAGATGGAAGCTTGTTTAGAAGCAGATGCCACAAAGGAGAGTGAAGCTTGTTTAGAAGCAGATGCCTCTTTTGTTGAGGCCATAACAGGGTTGATAACCGGTGAAGAAGAAGTTCCCTGAGGATAAGATAAAATTTTGTGAAAAGAAGAAATGTTACTTGTAGCTGGTGTTGAAGTTGGAGTCGCATCATTGGGTGGGATAAAATTTTGTCATGATGATTCTTGGATACATAATATTATGATGTATAAGTAGATTTGCGCTGATGTTTTTAGATGTTTACCAACTTTCATGATAAGATGAAATTTTTATTAGTGCAAATGGACTTCATATGTCATGTATGTAATTGTTTGCCAACACTTATCACGTACCTGTTCATTAATGAGTTTCCAATCTCATATACACTTTTAATCTCGTACCTATTCATTTATTCTCATCTCATAACCTTACCCAAAAAACCTAAAAAATCGGACAAAAGCGTAAGGGTTTTGTATTCCACATGTGTGCAGAAGTTACCACACGTGCAAGGGACTGAAGAGAAGCAAATACACTGAAGAAGCCGAAGAAAAGTAAGCGCCAGTGGCCCTAATCACTCTTGCAGTCACCAATCCTCCGTCTCTTCTCCTTGGCAGACGCAATTTCTCCTCTTTTCTGGCCAGATTCAAGGTTAGCGTTTCATCCTCATCGACGAAAGTTTCCATCTTTGAAATGTGGGTTATGTATTGGCCTCTTCTTTTCCCCTTCATTTTCTCGGAAACGGCAATTCAGCTTGATACATTTTGGGTTTTTTTACTGTCTTGCAGAGATTGTGTGGAAGAAGCTTTGATTGTTCGTTTTTCTAATTCGTGGATCATCAGTGTCGTTACTCTCCTCTTTTTGGATTGATTGGAGTGTTTTCATTTGTCGACTTATCTCTGTTTGAGGCGTTGCAGAAGAGAGAAATGGCAGGATGCGCAATGAATTTCCAGTTTTCGAGTGTTGTGAAATTCAGAAACGAGATCTCTTCGTTGAGGATTTGCAATCGAGACTCTGCATTTGGAAATTTTGTTAAGGAAATGAAAGTTCCTGTTTTGCGGATTAGTGGTTTTTCAGGTAGGCAAAGGTCGAGGCTTTTGATGGTTAGTATGTCTCAGTCTCCATCTGAGCCGCAGCTATCTGGTGCTGCTGCGGCTACTGAAGTAACGAAAGGAGAAGAAAGTGATAGCATCTTAAGGAATGGCAATGTTAAAAACTTGGGAACTGATCAACCGGAAAGTGATGGTTTAGTTGGGGATAGCTTTAGTGGTAGTGATGGTAATGGTGGAATTAATAACGGTGGTGGTGGAGGTGGAAATGGTGGAGGAGAAGGTGATGGAGGAGAAGACTATGAAGAAAAAGAGTTTGGACCTTTATTGAAATTTGAAGAGGTGATGAGAGAGACGGAAGCTAGAGGAGCTACTCTTCCATCTGATATGTTGGAGGCTGCTAAGACCTTTGGGATACGCAAATTGCTTCTCCTTAGGTACTTGGATTTGCAGGTACGTTCTTCAACTTTTGTTTATCTTTATGGAAGTAAGAGTTTAAGAGTTCTTTGAGTATTCGATTTCTTGGCTTTTTTAGAGCTCAGCTGGTCTGCTTGGGTTTGCTATAAGATCATGGTCTATGCTTCGGAACAGAATGTTGGCTGATCCATCTTTCCTCTTCAAAATAGGGACTGAGGTAAGGGACATTTCACTTCATTTCAATGGTCAACATATAACTTCATTTACAGAGCCAATCTTTCATTTACAACTTAGTTTCTCCTTCCTTGTGCATTCACATTTGGGTATTGGCTTATGTAAGCATTTGATGATGCCAATTTCTCAGATAGTCATTGATTCATGTTGTGCAACTGTTGCTGAAGTTCAAAAGAGAGGGAAAGATTTCTGGGCGGAGTTTGAGTTGTATGTAGCTGATCTTTTGGTTGGAGTTGTGGTTAACGTTGCTCTGGTCGGTATGTTGGCGCCTTTTGTCCGTTTTGGTCAACCATCAGCATCAAGTGGCTTCTTAGGAGGCATGCTCAATGCTTATAATGCACTTCCTAGCAGGTAAAATAATACCATATAGTATTTAAATCTCTCATTTTATAGCTCGGTTCATAGAGATTGAGATTTTTTTGAACTGGATGCAGCGTGTTTGAAGCTGAAAGACCAGGATGTAGATTTTCTGCACAACAGAGGCTTGCTACATATTTCTACAAGGTTAATTAAAATCTCACACTCTCTGTCTCAGTTTTGCTCTGTAACTTTTTGTTTTTGCTGTTGCTGATGGAAAAAACATTTGTTCAGGGTATAATGTATGGTGCGGTTGGGTTTGGATGTGGCATCGTAGGTCAAGGCATTGCTAATCTGATCATGACTGCTAAACGGTATATGTATAACACACTCTTTCTGCTAAAAGGGTCACTTAGTTTTTGGATGTTGCTTACGTTTCTTTTGACATTCTCTTAACTCAGAAGCATAAACAAGTCAGAAGAAGACATTCCAGTACCACCGCTCATCAAAAGTGCAGCTCTCTGGGGTATATACATACATATATTGGCTTTTCACTTTATTAAATCATTATTAGTCTCCAAATTAATGGTATGTTTTTTGTAATTGCAGGTGTATTCTTGAGTGTTTCTTCGAATACTCGATATCAGATAATCAATGGTCTAGAGAGAGTGGTGGAAGCATCTCCTTTCGCCAAGAAAGTGCCTCCGGCGGCTTTGGCCTTTACCGTTGGTGTAAGGTTTGCTAATAACATCTACGGTGGAATGCAGTTTGTTGATTGGGCAAGATTGAGCGGTTGTCAGTGAAAGAGAACACATGTTGTAACCCCACTCGATATTTTTACCACATTTCCGATTTTATCTTTCAGTATTACAGAACTCGCCAGGCGCTACTTGAGCTGTAAAAGTAATCAATAAAATGATTAGAAACAGATAAATGTTGAGAAATGTTTTCAGAGCGCAAAATGGTGAAAACGTACAATTTTACTTTATGGAAGAGAAGAAATGTGTTTTTGAGAGAGTAAAACATTGAAAATCTTGCTTTTTCTCCTTTATGAAAGCAAAGAAAAGAAAAGAGAAATTAAAACGAATTTGCAAACAATCAAACGACTTGGACACAAAACAGATGGTGAAATCTAAATCAAAGTTACAAAAAAGCAAATGATTACAGAATGAGAAAATATAAAAAGATCAATTCTTAATGGTACACGTAACTAAAACACAACCACCCCACCAAACATCTTATACTATAAGAATCATCAAAGCATTAAGATTGTAACACACAAACAGAACAACAACACTTGACAAAATAAAGAAGAAGCATGAGATGTTGTAGGTTTATAACGTTTGTTGCAGTGGCTTTGATGAGTCTTCTGATCACATTAGCTTCCGTTGAGGCTGCTGGTGAGTGTGGTCGCATGCCGATTGGTCAAGCTGCGGCTAGCCTAAGCCCGTGTTTGCCTGCTACCAAGAACCCGAGGAGTAAGGTTCCACCGGTTTGCTGTGCCAAAGTCGGTGCTCTCATTAGAACCAACCCTCGTTGTCTCTGTGCGGTCATGCTCTCTCCTTTGGCTAAGAATGCTGGAATCAATCCTGGAATCGCAATCGCTGTTCCCAAACGCTGTAACATCCGCAACCGCCAAGCTGGGAAGCGATGTGGACGTATGGATTCGATTCTTCTAAATTAAATTAGTATTGTAACATGAAGATTACTTTGACTTTTTTTTTTTTTGGTAAAAAGATTACTTTGACTTCACTTACTGATTTTATGTTTTTAACCTTTTATGTTTCTACAGGTTACATTGTTCCATGAAGATGAAACGTCGATTGGAATCTTTTAGTATCAAAATGATGAGGAGTTCTTAAGATTTAAATAAATGTTTTCACTTACCTTTGTAGAGGAGAAATGTGAAATATATATCCTTAATAATATCTATGTTGTTGGGACTACACATGAGAGGGTTTTTTCTGGTTTATTTTGTCAGGTGTTGACATTTGGCATGTTGTGTTTCTGTTCCTATTATTGTGTTAATCAAATGGTATAATACATACTCCAAAGGTCCAAAACAAAACGCACTTAACGGATACAAAAAAGGTTTATAAACATTTTTTAATATCTAAACGTGATACAAAGAAAAATGACTAACATGCCGTCTAAGGGTTGCAAACAAAGATACAAACTATAAACACAGTAAAAAGTGAAAGCAAAACTAAAATGATTTGCAGATAATTTTTGTATTTACTATATACTTCGGAGAACATAAAATACTAGAGGAGGAAAAGCCTCAAAATGTTAAACTATAGAAAGTAGATAAATATCAAATATGTGGAGAAATACAATGAATAAACTTACGAGAGCTTAGAAAAATGAAAGTAAAAAAAGTGAAGTGAAAGTGATCATTGTTAAGAGATGAGAGATACTGGGACTAATAAAAATTAAATATTTTTGGATATTATTGGAAAAGTCTCTAACTATATACTTTATGAATGAAAGATGTAATGAAAAATTCATGCTAATTATATGTTTAGAAACATTTAATTCACATAAGTCCTGGTCTAGTATGACAAATATGATTTGTCTTTTTCAAAATGAAACACAAATACTATTCGTGACCATTGACCAATTTCTTGAAACTGGCAAAACATAACTCTTATCTCTTTTTTCTCTATCAGTCACGAACGTTGGGCAGTGAGTGAATGAATGATTGAATGTGGTTCAGAAAACCGTACGGTTTAGATACAAAGACAAAAACAAAATTGAAAGACATTAAATTATCAAACGTACCAAAAAGAAATCCCACAACAAAACCTACCAATGAACAAATCTCATCGCTGATAGAATCCAAGATTCACTTTCCACGTGGCGAGCTCACAGAAACCCACGTGTAATTTCAGTCAAACCAGTCAAAGCCACAACGGATATTCTTCTGCTTCTCCCGCCTTCCTTTATAAAAAAACACACAACAACAAGAAAACAGAGCTTATCTCTGCAACTCCAAAAACTCCTTTTTTTTCTCCAAAGCAATTGAAAAAAGAGAAACAGAGAGAGAGAGAGATAAAGGATGACGAAAATCGACACTCTCCGTCGTTTTCTCCTCCCGTGTATCACACCTCCGACGAATCAAACCGCCGCATCGACAACCGGAGCAGCATCCACCGGCGTCAGCAAGAAACGTCTCAGCACCTCCCTAAGAGACGACGTCGACGTCCAAGACTCGGCTTCTTCTTCCGCCTCATCCTCCGAGGCCACTTCCTTCGCCGCCTCCGACTACCTCTCACCCGTCACGGTGCCGCAGAGACCCTCGAAGACGATGGTGATTGGGACGATTTTCGGGAGGAGAAAGGGACACGTGTGGTTCTGCGTCCAGCACGACCGTCTCTCCGTCAAACCGCTCCTTCTCCTCGAGCTCTCCATCGCGACGAACCAGCTGGTCCACGAGATGGGCTCGGGCCTTGTCCGGGTCGCTCTCGAATGCCCGACCCGACCCGAATTGAAGTCTTGCCTGCTGAGATCCGTACCCGTTTGGACGACGTTTTGCAACGGGAGGAAGTCGGGGTTCTCTGTGCGGAGGAGCGCCAACGAGGAGACGAGGATGATGCTGAAGAAACTGGAGTCGATGACTGTTGGGGCGGGCGTGTTGCCAGCCGGATCCGGGTCGGGTGAGTCGGATCTTGACGAGGTTATGTATATGAGGGCGAATTATGAGCATGTTGTGGGTAGCTCTGACTCGGAGTCGTTTCATCTGATTAACCCGGACGCTAACTCGGCTCAAGAACTCAGCATCTTCTTGCTCAGGACCTCTTCGTAATTGCCGTTTGGGGTCTAACTTATGAATGCTTTTCATAAAGGTTTGTTTTCTGGTTCGATAGATTGGATTGTGTTTCAGAGATTGGGAAAGACAGTTGAGAAAAAATCAAGATTTTGGGTAGGGATTTAGGTTTTAGCTCTTAGAGATCCGGAAAGTGTAGGGTTTTTAGTTCTTGGTGAGAAATTTCTTTGTGGGTCTTTTTTGTATTGGAGTTCTTGATCCCAAGTTAACATTTTTTTTGTAAGGAAGATTGATAATCTTTCAAGATCTTGATCCAAAGTTAACATTTTTTTGTAAGGAAGATTAATAATTTTAAGACTTTCTCGAGTATAATCTTTCTTTTGGTTTTATGAAGTAACAGAAACGGTGTACAACACCTCATTTCACAATTCTGTGTTTAAATTGTTACCAATATGAAAACACAACGCAAACTAAAACTTACTGAAGATCAGTATCATAATAAGAGTGTAAAATTGGTAAAACAAGAAACAACTTTTATGTCAGGAAATTGCTCGCGTGGAACAGTGTAAATCAAGCCTTTGAATGTTGAATACTCAAATGCTACTAAACACACTTGAAATGTTCTCTCTTTTTTGTCATGGCAGTAAGAAAAGGAAAATTTACTACCAAAGGGTTTGAAAAATTGGCAAAGGGGGAAACAAACATGTTGTTCCTTTCCTTCTACTACTAACTCTGTAAGACTATAAGGCAGCTAAAGCACTAAGTATTAGGGAGCAGGAGGAGGTAAGAAGAGAGTTTTCAAAGTCTCGTATATCATGAAGGTGATGCCAACACCAGGAACCACTTTGTAATATTCAGGCAATAATCCTCTGTACAGCCCTCTGATGCCTTCTGTCTTGAATATGAGTTTGAATGTTCCCATGAGTCCTGTTTTGTACACTCTCGCTCTCCCACCAGCTCCTTCTACCTGCATTCTTCTTCTCACAAGATCCAATGGGAACGTAGCTGCAAACAAAGTAAATGGGGGTCGAGAAACTTTGTCATCTGATGCATATAATATGTCTCCTCTTGAAACAAGGCTCAAAACTACAAAGTCAGATCAAAGAAGAAACCTGTTGAAGAAGCAATTCCAGCTAGACCTCCACAACCAAGACTAACAATCAATGTTGAATCATTTGGCCTGAAAGGTTCCAAGAAATTAGTAAGATACATATACAAATATGCCAAAGTAACCGTAAAAATACAGAGTAAAGATGACTTTTTACCTATGGGACAGCCAGAATGATTTCATATACTCATACGTAGCGAAGTTGATTGCAAGCGTTGGCCCAACTCCCTGCATCAAGAAAATAAGATGTACCAAGAAACAGTCAACAATCAACACAGTTAGCACAAGAGAACAAGAGAACAAGGGAAAATCAAACAAAGCGTACCAACATTGTAGCACCAAGTCCTTTATACAGACCCAAGAGTCCTTCTTCTTTGCATATGGTACGAAAAGCATGACCAATACCCTGGTAATACATTGCGTTTCTCTGCGAAATGATCGTAATGTAATGCATTCAGGCTACAGAGAAACAAAGAGAAACACTGCTTACAAAGAAGAAAACCAAAATCAAATACCTGCGCAGCAAGACGAGTCCTAACAAGATCGAGAGGATATGTAGCAGAAGCAGCTGTTATTCCAGCCAAGCCACCACTAACAAAGTTGACAAACGGGCTGCCACTTCCATTTCCTATATAACTCCGTAAGACTGGACTTGAATACAAAAGCTGCAAAATAGATAGATAGCATTGTGAGGCTAAGTGATAACAAAAGACACGATTAAAGAAAAAAGAGGAGTAGAATGCAACTCACCGTCTTGTATTGTTCATATGCATAGAAGTTCAGTGCAGAATAGGGAAGCCTGTGAGCTACAGTAACAAGATTTCCTTTCCAAAAGGCTCTAAACCCTTCTTCGTTGATAATGCGAGAAGCTTCACGCCACAAACTTGGCCTGCTTAACACTGCAGCTTCTGATTGCATCCCTTGCAACTGTAAAGAGACCATCATAAAGCTCTTTAGCAAATTCAATAGAGGCAAGAAGCTGTGAAAGGCACAACAATGTAAACTTTGATTTGGCTACTGTTCAAATTGTGTGGCAAAACAAAATATTCATGAGCTCGCCAGAAGTTCAAAAACCCAAAACCCATTCCAGAAACTTTCCCAAAACCCCAACAACTTATCTTCTCGGCTCTAGCTATCCAAACAAAGCAGCAAAAAGCTCAAAACAAGCCAATTTTTAGAAATATCCTCTGTGATAAGCACACATTGACCAAGCCAAAAGGAGAAAATCGATATCGAACAAGACCTGAAACAAGATGGTGAGGCGAGCGAGAGGAGCAGTACAGGTTTTGCTGAAGGCGCCGGCAATACCTCCGGCGAGGAGATTCTCGATTTCGCCGATATGACCCTGCGGCTGAATCTGCTGCTGTTTCTGTAACAAGCTCCT